TACATCTTACCCTCTCTGGAGGGAAATATCTGCAATTTCCTTAGGGATCTTGCTCTCCCCTCTCAGTGAAAAAGCCGAGCCACTTTAGAATAGTTGCAATGGGGATTATGGATTATTTTATGGAGTATAGGGGATTTTCTTTCTAGAGTTTAACATTTGTAAAGAATATATACATTTCAACTCCCCATTGGTGCTGTCTGACCCAAGGTAATTATGGCTAAATGTATTATATTAATCAGATTCTAATGTACACGTGCTGGTTCAGAGTTTGCTGTGTGATAAATCATTTGTGTTATGCTCTTGAGACACATAAGTAGAGTGTAAGTGATTTGTTTCTCTCTGTGTTGAGAATTTAACAGCATACCTCCACCTAAGTCCCACCTGAAAGACTCAGTCAATGTTTCTGATTAAAATATGCCAAAAACATAAGCCATCACTGTCACTGTGTTTTATAGTTAAATGCCAAATACAAGGTATGAGTCTGTTTAAGGTGGTTGTTTTTCTTTCTCTTCTAGTCAGAGATGTTTGAATAGCCATGGTGCAGTGCTCTGTTTTTGTAATATAAGGGGCAATAAAAATTCCTAGTCATAAAGTACGCTGAAAGACAAACTGTTCTTTTTGGCCAAATGTAGGTATAGTGTCTGCATTTGTCCTGTAAAATATGAAATTTAATTCCCTCTCAGGCTATTTTGTTTTGTTTACATCGTCGAGTGTGACTGACCTTGTGCATTTAAAAAGTGCTATCAAGGATCTTCTCTGCAAAACTTCTGTGGAAAAGAGCTGCATGCTAACCTCATTCATGTTTTAGAATTAATCTCAAAGAAATCTGATTGAGGATACACAGCACATTGTCTAAATTTCATGGCATGATATGATAAATCATGATGGTTTTACAGGTGATAGATCTTAAACTCAGGCTGTTTTCAGTGGCTTGTCCACGTCTCACATGAGCAGATCGGTTAGATAGTGATATTGGTGGCCCTGCACAAGAGAGAGCAGCTCAACAGTGGTTTCCAGAAGTTTTCTGCTTGCTAATAGTTTGATGGAGTTTTTACTTGAGGAGAACGTTACGTGAGCCTTGTCATCTGGATGCGTTTAGACTGCGTGCGCACAGAGCTGGCAGCCAGATGGCTTCAGCTGAGGGACAATGAAATCTCCAGGGTCCGCAGGAGAGAAAGCTCTCATTCTGATTTGTCTCCTCAGATGAAACCACATCTGGGCAGCTTTAGCATACCTCGGCAGCTTGTGTGTGGTGGGACAGGAAGGCCTTCCAGTTCTCTGTTCAATTGGTGCTGAGTTGATTATTTAACAACAAGTAATAATTTGTTGGTCCAATAGAAATTACAGAATATACACAACATGCCGGTGTGATATCATCAGTGTTCATCAGAATACTGGATGGTAGTTGTGTTTATTGAAGACTGTTATTAAATTGGTTGCTGAAAGAGTGCATGGCACTCTTTCAAGACCCCTGAGAGTCACAGATGAATGCTTATTTACTAAAATGAGCTCACTTTCTCATGTTATGCAATCGCAATCTGTCTAGTTTGATTTCCTTCAGGTCTTTAAGTCGCGCACCCTCCGTCATGTGTTTACACCAGTGGCTTTTGAAAAATCACCTCAAATACTATAGTGTGCGAAAGGACTATTCATTGTCACGCAAAACCAAAATCTATGAAGGATATGTTGCGTCACTGTTTAGTTTAGCTTGTGATAGATCTTACAAGTTGTAAATCAGTTCTGAATATCTTGTTGTAACTGTAATACAGTTTCCCTTTAAGGGCAGTTCAGAACCTCAACAGAGCTATTATATATATTTTTTATTGGCCAAGACCTTTAATGTAGTAACATATTATTTCATGTTGGGCGACATGGAGGTACAGTAATAAGTACTTATAGTAAAATGCAGGTAACGGTGCTAAGTCCATAAACTGCAATAAGCAATGACTACACTCTCATTTTAAAAAAAAATGGTTTACAAGATACAGGGCTTCACTACATTTCTTTAGCGCACATGCATAATTTAAGCTACCTCACATGGCTGAAATTGTTCTTGTTGCATGCAGGCACCAACCTGATACATCAGATCAGGATGTGTTTAAGTGATGAGTGATACATATACACTTATAGTTAAAGTCTCAGTGAAACGGAAACCGAAGTTAGAGCATCTTTAGCATCTGTACTGTGATGTATTTCCACGTGAAACTTAATATTTTAGCGGTGTACAGTTTCAAGAGGGATTTAAATCAAATCCTTAGCATTTGATTGGATTGCTAGAAGTATGCAGGCTTGGAGTATAGTGCAATGTGAAGCTACAGCGGACTGTTGGCTGCACACACACCTCCCTCAGCGTTAGATCAGGGGGAGGACAAGGAAGAGATAATTGTCTACTGATATCCAATCTCTTCCTATCTCTCTATATTGCTCTGTCTGAACTACGACCAGCAAACAGTGGAGTGCAGTTTATATGACCGGTGTGACTAGCTAGTCGCCCAAAGGATTATTTGATTGGATGAACTTTTACAAGATCATTTTTTTAGGGGTTTTGGCCTTTATTATAGTGCAGCTGGAGAGAGACAGAAAAGTGTGTGTGTGTGTGTGTGGGGGGGGGGGGGTAACACACAGCAAAAGGCCGTGGGTTGGAATTGAACCCACCCAACTGCAAAGGCCTCACTCTACCAGGTGAGCTAGAGGTTATCCTGATCGTATGAACTTTAAACACCAGTTCACACAGTACAGTGCTGGATGAGTCATCAAACATTTGAAACTGCTTTACCTGGTTAAACAGCAAGAGAAAAGACAGGGATTTTGATGTAAAAATACTTTGACACTGTTTTTTCCCCCCGTTTTTAACATGTAATTGGCATTTGACAAGACAACAGGGACACAGGATTAAAACTGGGAAAATGTATTTTAAATTTCACTGGGTCTTTAAATGATGTTACATACACAGAAAATGTATCCCAATCAGTTCCACACAATTGTAAATCAGAAAAGTAAAAACAGCACCGGTATTGATGTCATTGCTGGTATCATCACTGTGTCCGTCATTACTCCGAATATAAGTACCAGAATCAGTATCACAAGAGAATCAATGGGATTGGTGCATCCTTAGTTGCATTAAGTCTGTCTTGGGACACATATTGGCACAACTCAGAGCACTGAGTCCCTAAAGTCAACAACAGCTTTTTTAAAAGTTATCTCCGGAGGTCAGATTGCCGTCTGTTTCTAACTATGTACAAGATAGCTTCTGTTTCGGGTTTTTGTTATTTTACCTGTCATCATGCAGGCAGCTCCCTAAGCTTTGGCATGGCCACTTGCTGTGCCATTTCATCACAAGTTTTGGCCTTTACCCTGTGTCAAACCAGGCTTCTGACATGTATGCTTAAGTATCCTTCATCAACTTTCGCCTGCTGTCCTCAGGAACTCCACTGCATACCAGCACTCTTCAAACGCTACATTTTACAGATGTATTGGCCGTGGCTGCACACGGGTTTTGCAGTTGAGGAAATATAATAGACTTGCGGTTCATAAGAGTGTTTCCAGATGTGGTGGCGGTGCGGGTGAGTGGAGGGTGTACAAACGGGAATTGTGGTGTCTTGACAGATAACACAGCATTTCTCAAACAAGCGTGACAAATGTCAATAGGTACATTTACTTCTCACAATAAACACCTTGCTGAGAGAGAAAACAGTTATCCTACATTGCTGAAATGCATTGAAGAAGGTTTCTTAATTGACTCAGTTGGCAGTGGTGAGAATGCCTCTTTGTTTGGTAAAGACTTTTCTTGAAGGCAGGGACACAATTCTCACTCACCCTCACAGAAACCCGGGGTTCAATGTCAGAAAGTGGTTCCACTGGCTTTAGTCTGCATTCTGACAATCTCAGTTAGCAGTGTTTGTGGGTGGGAAGCCAGTGGGGGATCATACTGTTGCGTCTGCACCACTGACTTCTGTTGGTTGGCAGGCGCCTGCATCGTAGGATCTGAGAAGGAAAGCCTTAATCTCCTGGTGCTGGCTAGTGTCTCCATCCTCCCAAGGTCAACTGTAGCCTTGAGTGCAAAGCAATTACAGATTGGGGAGAAAAGGGGGAAAAAGTATTTTTTCTTGGAATCAGTGTTGACTTTAGCCATGTCAACACATCTCAAATCAATCATTTCCCCCAGAAAAGATCTGTTAGACATTTGACATTCTATCAACATCTATCCAGCTGTATAATTACTCACACTCAGGACATTTTGTAACTACATCATTTGAAAATTACAGATGGATTTTCAGCTTGTACAGTAAGTTGGCTGTCGTACGCATGTATCTATGGTGAGACAGCTTGACTTAAACAAATGGCTTTTTTTGTAATAACTATAGTACGTGCATCTGTTAATGTTGGGCTGATTATCCATTGCTGATGGCTGTCAGTCATCGACCACTGAGCCAACATCTAATTTTCTATTCCATTCCATAATTAACATTTAAAAGCCCCCACTCACCCCAGTCTCTTTGTCTGTTTATCCACATGGGTTTGCAGCGGCACTAATGGCATTCGTTGCATGCTTCAAAATGTACCTATCTTTTTAGTTGTCCGGGTTTGTTGCTACCATCACAACGTTGTTGTTTTATTTTATTCACTGGTAATGTTATATAAATTACACTGCCTCCAGCAGATGGGTCAAAAAGTGACAAAGCAACATTCCAAAAAAAGTTATTATTAATTTGCAGAAACATTGCGTGCATGCATCTTCCACCTTCTCTATGGCTATCTCTCAGTCTCACTTTCACTCTTATCCGTCCTTACAATTTTGCCAGCAGCAGTCCTTGTCCAAACATCGTCCATCGTAATGATGTAATGTGGAAATCATCATATGGCAATTGGGTAAACATCGGCCAACCCTAGAATCTAGACAATGTCTGCATATTCAGCCAGAGATCTTGTAGTATTCCAGGTTTTCTTTTCAAATCTTCATATAAGTGTAAAAACTTGTCTGTTTTTGTCATATCTTGCAGCATCAACAATAAATTACAGCAGCCAGAAGCTGCATCTGGAGTGCTGGAGTACGCCATGAAACATTTTGGTGAACTGGTAAGTGCTTTACTTTTTCTTTTTCTTTTTTTTTTCGTCTCCAAACAAAAAAGGAAACCTTATCTTTGTTTGCATTTAGAGCGAAGCTGGGACAAAAAAAACTTGGCCTCCTTTTTCCTTTCAGTCATTCCACTACATTAGCACAGCAGGAGGCTGCTGTAGAAGGCCTCTGTAAAAACATTTCATCAGTTATACCTGTAGAGACAGCCCTCACAAACTCAGACCTCTGATGCATTTTCAGACTAAATACGTTCTTAGTGGGCTGTACTTTATGTGGTTTATTATCCGCATACACTTCTTCATTGTAATCCTTTCCCCATACATGCAGTGTAACGTGGGGTGAGGGTCATTTGAGACACATACCCTCAAAACACCCTGGTCTTAATGTGCAGCATGTGGAAAAACCATCTGCTATGCTGATCAGTAGTCAAGGGCAAGGAGCAGAATTATGGACTTTTTCATCCACTGAACAAGATGTTTGGATTTTAATTTTGTGTGAGTGTGTGTGTGTGTGTGTGTGTGTGTGTGTGTGTGTGTGTGTGTCTGCTGTGTATTTCTTAAAAGCTACTTGGGACTACGTGGTGCCTTTTTCCAGTGGTAAAATGACGTTATGTTTTTACTAAAAAATACAAACAGTAATTACTTCTTAATGGCAAGTGGTTTGTAAGGTCCCTAAATAGCTTCATTGACTGTGACTCCCTATGTGACCTCTAATGGACCAAGTTGAAAGCCACAGAACATGTCACTATTTCTGTGTCTGTTTTTTGTTTCTGTTCATGTACAGAACTCCTCCTCCCTAGTATCACTGAAAACTCCTCAGTGTTTCATGTTCTGCTTATATGGACCTGGTCCAGATATGAAATAACTGTCAGACACTGGACATGCATTGGACACCATCACACAGATTTTCCACGTTAATTACATAAGTTGTTATTCTGATCCTTCTCCCACACTGTTGCCATAATTGCATCATTTAGTAACTGGTTTTGTCTTGCTTGTATTTTGGATGTACCGGACAGTCTCTTTAGAATCAGTACCAGTCATGAACTCAATGATGGTAGAACAGGCAAAACAATATCTTTCTAAAATCACCAGTAAGTATTAAAAAATGTGAAATTGCTATGCATTTGCATTGGGGTAATTGGTATTATGTCATTACAATGAACATGGCCAGTGCAATTTATTTATTTTTAACATAAAAAAGCCAAACAAAACATTTTTTTCAGTAAATTAACACATAAATACATACAGGCACAACATTGACACCAAAATCTAACACACAGAAAGTGAATAAAAAAGCAAAAAAAATAAATAAAGAAAACTCTGGACCATACAGATTAATTTAAGTGAGTGAAACACTTAAAAAGACATAAAACAGCTACGAGGTTCACATTATGAGAAAGTGAACAGAGATGGAATCAAATCATAACTCTGATGTGTAAATTCTAGTGTAAATGAGTAGGGCTGAACACGGCCCAAGATTATGTCAGTCAAATATGAATATTTGACAGTGTTTCTTTTTTCCCCCCGTGCAACAACAATTATGCCAACGGCAGATATGAAACAAAAGCCAAAGACTGTACCATATCAAGTTGCCGTAAGCTGTAAATTCATCACTTGTATACAGACGGCAGAAGATAACGTTATCTTGGAGCCTGACTGGGCAAAGCCTCTCTTCCTACAGGCAGCTGCCTCTGTGTCACTCAGATGCGCCATGGGCCTGAGTCTGCAGCTGCCTGTAACAAGGTGCTTTGCAATAATAACAATCAGTCTAAAAACACATACAGGACAGAAAACAGTACAAAATAGTGTAAAAAGTAACAATAAATATCATCAGTTAAGAAAAAGCCAAATGATACAAGTGAGTTTTTTTAGAAGAAATTTCAGAGGTCACTGAGTTCGTCTGCCTGAGATCCTTAGATAGGGAGTTCCGCAGTTGAGGGGCTTGGACAGCAAAAGCTTTGTCACCTTTAGTGACAAGTCTGTGATCAGACTCATAGGGAATTAATGAGCTTGACCATTCAAGGCTTTCAAAACAAGCACTAAAATCAATTCTAAAAGTCACAGGTAACCAGTGAAGGGTAGTGAAGATCGGTGTGATATCACTTCTCTTAGTATGAGTTAAAGGCTGGCAGCAGCGCTGTGTATGAGTCAATCTTTGGATGGCTCATCCGCTGATGCCTGAATAAAGTATGTTGTCGTAATCAGGTCTGGAGGAGATAAGAGCATGGATCACCTTTTCTAAATTTGCAAAGGAAAGAAATTAACTGATCTTTGTTTAATGTCTCAGTTGGGCAAAGCAGGACTGTACCACTTTAGTCACTTGGGCACCAAAAGACAGCAAACATAGTATTGTCTAATAGAATGCATTCACTTGATTTTTAATGAAGTGGATATTTTTAGCCTAAAATCTGGTCAAATGTTATTTTACCCAACCATTAGGACTCCAGTGGAAAAGGTCTTTCCTTCTGCCTTTGTGAACTACATTTATGCTTCTGTGTAAAAGCATGTTAAAAGTGAAAAGACTGAGTAAAAGCCATTTCACTGTGCACTTCCAGGAAACCTTGTTTATGAGGTGACCCTATGAAAAGCTTTACTGTGGGAGAATGCAGGGTTTCCTTGTTTAGTTTTTTAGGAATCAAAGGTTGGGTGAGATCTATGTAAATAATCACTGGTTGATGTCACCCAAAGAAATCAATACCTAGAGGTCACTTTTACAGAAGGTTAGCATTTAGATATAACAAGACCAGGACTGATTTATAAAATTGGGAATCTCCAGTCTGCCATACAGTATAATAATGGAAGCTGTGAAAGTCTTTTCCTGATTGTGAAAGGACTAGGACTGGAGTTTCAACACTCTTTGTTAACACACACACACAAAAAAAAACAGTTTGTTAAATTGTCAAATGGTTCAGATAATAAACACGTTTGGCATAAGTGATGAAATGCAGAAAAGTGGTTTAGGTTAATTGCATGGATTCTTATAGTTGCATGGTTCCAGTTCCATGTTTCGTTCTTGACTCCTTTGTGCTTTTGTCTACTAGGAAATCCAAGCCACTTGGTATGAGAAGCTCCATGAGTGGGAGGATGCCCTGGTATCATACGACAAGAAGATTGACATGAACAAAGAGGATCCAGAGCTCATCCTGGGCAGAATGCGCTGCTTAGAGGCCCTGGGAGAATGGTATGTCAGTAGTTATATTTGTTGTGAGTTCAGTAGGGCTGCAACATTTTGTTCAAGTCAGTGTTCCAGCCTTCAGGTCTCAGATTCATTGATATACATTTCTCTATATAAACACTTAGTGTCACCATTGATGTTTGCAGACTTTCTTCAGTTTATCATAAGTTAGTTTCTTTAACATACTGCCATGGGCTTTTAGTATAAATGTATTGTGTGAGTTGCAGAAGTGATAAAATCGAGAAGAAATTGGTTTCTTCAACCTTACCTCTATTGGATAATGACACTGTCTGAGGTAGTATACTTGCTGTGAGCTATTCCATCTCCTATTTTTTATTTGCGCGGGCAGCCTTCTCGTAACGAGTCATGACATTAGGCCTTTGATGACTGGGCGAAAGGAGAGAGAAAGGTTCCTCTGAGTAATTTTACCGGGAAAAGCATGAACAGGCATCCAACGGCAGTAATAGGCACCGCCACTCCAATGAAACCTCACCACAGCCGAGGCTCAACTCCATAACGGCCGCCCACTCTTCAAAGAGCACTTTTTTTTTAGGGAAAAAGAAAGTCACAAGTTGTCCAAGGGATCCAAATATGTGGATCGTCACAGAACTCATGACGCTAAGCAGATGTTAATTTGCTTATGTAACCTGCCTCCTTGTGCCATTGTTGTATACCCTGTGAGTCATTTCACAAGAAATGATTCAGTAATTTTACACGAAAGTGATTCAGCTGAAGAGAGGCTTTGTGTTTATGTTTGTGTGTGGATGGGTAAGACTGGGAGATGATATAACAGATGACCGGGCCATTAGTCAGAACAGATCAGACTTAAGAGAACACTTTGTTCCCTGTTGAGGTAAGGTAAGGGGATATATTGTAGTAGTGTTCTATGCGATAATGCATGATAATGTATTTGACAGTTGGACTCAAACATTATTTGAGTATTGGACAGTTATCAAGCAACCTCCAGTACAGAATGACCATCTTCAGTTTCGATGTTATTTAATCAAGGGTATTGACCAGAAATTAATGAATACCTAATTAAAAAGGACTTCAAATTAGCTGATTCATCACTGCTACAGTGGTGAGTCATTTTAGCGTTAATGTGTCAGTTTGAGGTAATAAACTACCCCCTATATTCTTACCTGTCCAGCATACTGTATGCAATGCAGTTCTGTTTGTTAGTCTCAAATTGTAGACCCCACTAATCTTTTTTTTTGTTAGCAGAGTTTGTCAGTGTTTGGAAATATTTTCATTATTTTGGGACATCCCCTTTGACACAAGTAATAAATAGCTGCTTTTATTTAATAAAAACAAAACAAAACAAACAAACATGTATATTTTCATAGTTATAGTTGACTGAATCCGCTTTTACGTCTGGAACCTCCCGTCTACACCGGGGCTGAGAGACACCCTTGTTGAGAACTTGGCTTAGATTCCAGAGTTATTCTCTTATCCTGAAGCCTTCTTAAGGAATCTAATCCCATTTAATCAGCAGTGGAAACCTCTTGCAACCGCATGCCTTTGCTGACATCAACTCCAGCAGGATTCAAACCCTGGACCTTCTGCATGGAAGACGAGTGTACTAGGGAGGCCCTTCATAGTTAGAGTTGACTAATGTATGTAAACTTGCCACCATAGGAACAGTTGTCACAGTCTTTTATAGTCCTTGTCGAGCAAGAGTGGCAATTCTCCATTGACCAATTGATGGAGTACAGTGTTTCTAGCTCCACCTTATAGTATCGGATGAGTGGGTCAGGTACCTCAGTAGTGAGGTGATGACGGAGTGCCAAGTAGCTCAGTAGGTAGAGTGGACCTCCCATGTCCAAAGGTAATATCGTTGCCACAGTGGTCACAGGTTTACTTCCAGTCTGCATCCACTTGCTGCATGTCATTGCTTTCTCCCCTTTCACAGTTAACACTGTCTCATCAAATAAAGGCAAAAAGCTGGAAATAAAAATCTTAAAAAAAAATAAAATAAAATCAAGGGGATGATTAAAAAAAATGGAATGGATGGTTCTGTTGCTACCATCCACAATTTTTGACGATGGAAAGTGAAAAACTACCGTTCTAATGTACAGTGAACTGAACTCAAATGAACCAGACTGCTTGGTGGAAACAAGGCTTTGGTTCTGTTATACTTCACATATCAATGGACTAATTACAGGAGCTGTTTTATATCTGACAAATGTTGCTATTTGGCACTCCAGTTCGAACATGCAGCTTTTTGGCATGTGGCGCCTTGGGGATGGAGGCCTGTGTGTCTGATAAAGCCACCTTTTGATACTCCTGCATAGCTTCTAATTACAGATGTGGCAATTGAAAAAAAAAAAAAGATTTTGCCACACAGCTGATCTGTTAACAACTATTAAGCATGAAAAGCAATGTTACTAAAATAAGAGCATTTCAGGGTTGAATTTGGAAAAGGCTTTTTTTTTTTTTTTTTTTTTTTTTTTTTTTTTGGGTATCATCTACATGAGTAGATTTTGGCAAGAATTTGCTTTCCAGTGTTTAAGTTGGGTAGAGATATGTTGGGAATTACGTGATATCACCAAAAGTCATATTCTAACAAAAGCAGGGAAGGTGTAATAGACCTTTTACACATCAGACATTTTGGCGTATCACAGCAGGTAAGTACAGGTAGTCACTTTTAATGTTTTGAATTACAGCAATCTAAAAAAAAAAAAATACATTCCATTGAGGTGAGCTAGTTCCAGGGTCCTGGTCTTGTGCATGCTGGCTCAGTGTCCTTGCTTACGGAATCACTCAGTGAAGCTGAGTTTGTTACCATGCACCATGGAAACGGTCAATTTGTCCTGTCCAAACAGGTACAAGGAAACTTAAAAGAGAGATGTCAATCGAGCACAGTTGGCACATGATCCCACAGTCCTAAGAAGAAGTCTTATCAGGCACAAGTGAAAACCCCTGTGTCAGTGGACCAACAGTTTGTAGTGTAGGGCCTTTTAAAAGACTCTTTACATTAAATAAACATGTCCTTTTGAGATTTATTTTAGCAACTTTTCAATTGAAATTCCGAAGATGTGAATAATGGTCTGCTGAGTCAAATTATAAATTGAGCTCTTCCTTCGGCTGGACCATCTTTGTTTGTCAGCTGTAGACACATACGCCCAATGTACCAGAGCTTTTTGTACTTGTTGCTTTCATGTTATACAATAGCCAGGCAGCTGGAGAATGGCTTCACTTCACTGACCCCCATCCAAACTGGCCTCTCTCTTTTTCTCTGTCTGTGCCTCCCACTTTCTCTCCTTCATCTTAGCTCACTCCAGCATCCTGCCTGTAAAACACATGCGGTGGGTTTGATCTCCTCCTGGACAATGCCGCACTGATTGTTGTTAATGAGAAATTAGTCTTGGTTAGATGCACCTGACCCCGACAGGGAACATCCATCTGTTTGCTGGAATACTTGATTTTATCATACTGCTTTGGGACGGTACACTGATTTAAGATGTTCATCTTTAAGAACAAATGAAGAAATAAATGATTGCAGATGTAAATGAAACCAAGTCTTATCATCTTATCATCTTGGCAGGAAGTTCTTGGCCATTCTGGTGAAGGGCTTTTTCATTTGTTGTTTGGCGCAGGAAAAGTGAATTAAGTGTCTTAACATGTATGTATTATCATTCGGACTTGGAGCTTAGAAGAGCCTCTTTTGTTTTTCCAAGGATAAAGATCAGACCTATACAATGCAGCGTCACTTTAGACAAGTTGTAAATGCTTTTGTTTTTGCAGTTTTACTGCAGTTGTCAAATTCATGTCAGTCAGAGTGAGTGCTTCATCCTCATCATGTTTTGCAGAAGAATTCTACCATTTAGTGTATGTCTGTTCTATATTTAGCTGTAATTTTTCCACACAGGTCTCAGACACCATGTGATATATATCAGTTTAGATGGCATTGCACAATGATGGAGCATTATTCTAGGTTGCTGAGAATACTTTCTTGCACTGCTTGATCGAGTGTCTTGTAGGCCTGTCAAGATAATTACATTATTAGCTTATTGTACAATATATGGACGTGATTGCAATATTATTACCTACATATTGCCCGTTGTGTTTACATATGTATTTGTTTACATAAGATGCCAACAACATTTGAGCCAACATGATACCGGAATTAACACTTGGGCGCAGAGACTCTCCCCTTTTTTTTTCTCTCTTCACCCCTGCTTACTTGCACAAGTCCAAAGAAAATAAAACAACACTTCAAAGATGACACAGTGTAGCTTACCATTAGCTCTGAGCTGCACTTTTGCAGTAGAAGAGACACGATCCTGATAAATATTGCTTGCCAAACCCTGGCAACAAGGTAAAAAGCCAGTTATTTGTAGTTTTACCCTCCAAAAACTTAATCCTCCGCTCTGTACATCTACCAGCAAGCTGCCCTGCTCACAGGCCGTCCATCCAAGGGAGCCAACTGCAGCACACTGGCTGTATTATGGAGGTGACTAAGGTGTTCCTGGAGCTTCGCTAAGCTTGTCTGTTAGTCGCAAGAGGCATTACTTGGTTTATTTTTTGTTGACCAAATTTTGTATCAACTCTCAAACTGAAGAATTTTGGGCTACGTCAATTAAGGTACTATAATTTTATATATACTTTTTTGTACATATTAGAAGGTGTTAATTACTTTTTAAAAATAAGTTAAATATTTTATGTTACTTTATTATGTTATCATTATATCATTGGCATTAAACAGTCTCAAAATTACAATATCATTTATTGCAATTATATCTGGGACAATATATCATCCAACAAAAGCAGTTATTGTGACAGGCCTACATGTAGCCATACTGCAGTCTATACAGTAATACTCTTGACTAAATACCTGATAGGGCCAAATAGACCAAATAAGGGACCTGATGACAGCTCAGATCAGTTTCTGATTAACTGATGTCATTGCCTTGAACATGGGACTCAACAAATCTGCATCTGCTTTTTCTGTAATCTGAAGCCTGTGGTTAATGTTTTCTAGGGGCCAGTTGCACCAGCAGTGCTGTGAGGAGTGGACGCTGGTGAGCGAGGAAACCCAAGCCAAGATGGCTCGTATGGCTGCTGCTGCCGCCTGGGGTCTAGGTAACTAGCCACTCAGAGTCTTCATGTCAGATATTAACGAGCAATGAAAAATATTTGGAAGAAAAGGTCAACAATGAACTATATAGTAGCAGTCAGCTGAGTTTTAAGAGAAAAGTTGTGCATGGAGCATTTAGGCTATCCCCTGCCTGACTCAGAGCAACAATGCAATCAGACCAAGCAGCAATGAAAACACTAACAGCTCTTGCCAAACCCCCCCTCACATAACCAGATGGGAATGGTATCCAGTCAAAACATTGACATATCGTAACGTGCAATGGTGGAGAAAAGCAGGGGCCACACTGTAGAAGCATCCTCTGAGGTTTGTGGTCTGTGGCTTTGACTGTATTAAGTCAATCGTAAACCCTGAGATGAAACCTAAACAGCAGGCTCTTCTATCTGAAGACTCAGACCTTCTTTTATTGTTGTTGTTGTTGTTGGGAAGCAAAATGTTGAGGTTGCAGTCACTGATATTTTAACAAGATGAGATGGAGTGAAGTTCAAAACAGCAGCGATTGACTTCCAAACTTGAATCTGCCTCATTCTTGCCAAGTTATGTCTCAAAACATCCACTAATAACCTGTTTTTGTGCTTTCTTGTAACTAATTTGTCCAGGGCACTGGGACAGCATGGAGGAGTACACGTGTATGATCCCAAGAGACACACATGATGGTGCCTTTTATAGAGCAGTGCTAGCTCTGCATCAGGACCTCTTCTCATTGGCTCAGCAGGTGGGTTACATCACCACTCACAAATACATCCCAGTGGATAAGATTTTCTCCCATTTAATGTACCTTAAAAGTCTATATTTTTAGAAAACATCTCCTAAAGACATGCTACATGGGAATTTGCCAAGCCTTGTGGTTTCTGGAATTTCCATTAGTCTGTATAGCAAGGTATGAAAAGTCAAAATCATTGGAAAGCAACACTGTAGAGAAACATAAAAATTGCCTTACGGCTTTTCCAGACAGGATCATATTTCCCCATCAGCTCAGGCTTTTCATTAAAAGGAGTCAGATGCACAAGGTTTTTTTTTTCTTTTTTTCCTTTTACAATGTGGTACTTCCTTGGTGTGGAAATGTTACATAACTCTTGAAATAGTAAATCATCACAGCATTTAGCCTCAAACAAATACAGAGCCCGTTTCCCCTCCTGTCTGCCTGTCAACAAGGTCCAGTGGAGGTCAGGGAGGTGTTTTCCTCATTTTATAAAGGTTGGGAGTGTTAGGTGAGCTCATGCTCCCCGAAGATGAATTAGTTCGAGCTGGATGCCAGCACATCTAAAGAACACAAGCTCCAACACCAACACTGGTAAACACCTGCTTCTCCAATTTCTCTGGACTCATCCTCCAAGTCCCCTTTTCACCACAAAGCCCGGGAGACCTGGTCTCTGTGCCCCCCTCATCCATCCACAGCCACCCTCCCTCCTCTAATTTGGAGATTAGATCCAGGTGTGGCCTATAGGATTTTAAATCAGCTGAAGAGGGAAAGCAGACTTTTGACTTTTGGAGACAGTGGGGCCAGTCACAATGAATGAGGAGGAATGAAAAGCAGATGGAGCGAGGGTGAAAGCTTAAATGTCAACATGAGCTCAGTCTAGTCTTCCGGATGTGGTTGGTAATCCTTGCGCTTAAATCCTTTTGATTCCATAGGGCTGTTCCTTTCCTCCTGCTATACCCCCAACAACCAGACATGTGCTCCAGGAGCTGCGGCGTGCAACTTTGTGAAGGGTTTCAGGTTACTTTGCTGTATACATCTCAGTGTTTGGTCTGTTCCAGCAATGATGTATAGACACAGCAGTCATGCTCCCTGCAGTAAAGCAGTCTGCAACATTAATGATGTAGTTTCCTCTAGCGGTTGATTTGGCCCTTAACATTCACATAGAGGCCCTCATATCACACTGTAGTGATAAAGTAATCTCACTGGACTTAACCCATTGTAAGTACCAGTGTGCAACCTTTATATAAGAGACTGGGTCACGGTTTGTTTGTGCTGCCAGTAGTCAGACACTGCATTTATCAGGAGTCGTCTGGACTGCACATTTTCAATGAGGCCCCAGTGCAGTAATTCAGGAGTAAACAGGACCATAACCGAGTGGAGGCTGTAAAGAAGCAGCCTCATTGTCACCTCGTCCCAACCACCCTCCCATAACCCCTCCTCTTGTTGTGCATGCCTGAAGAGGTGTTTAGGCACGCCATTCCTCCTTTCCCTCCCCGCAAAAAAATAATTGGTGGGAGTCAGTCTGAAACAGCTGTGTGTCCTGGCCTCAGAGAACTTCCTCAGTCATCCTCCCTCATTTTACCTTCCCACTAATAACAGTTCCCAAAAACATTGGCTGTAGAGGCCCGAGAAATCATCACGTTTTCAGCCACAGTACTTGTGTCCTTGTTTGTCCCTTTTGCTGCTCTGGATCAGGTCTGTCTCACAGTTAAGGTTTTTCCACCCCTCAGGGTTCTCACTGGTGATGGAATGTCTGCAGTATCGTTAAATTTGGAGAACTGCAGTCCTGTTACGAAAAGTCAGGGAACTGGAAGTTAACAAATGAGTCAGTATTATTCAGTAATATACCCAAAAAACAGGAAGGTAGGAAAACATTCTTAGGGCATGAATGTTCTCGGACAGTTGGTTCTCAGTTGTTGGTTGGTCACGAAAACATTTGGGAATGTGCATCATGGTGGGAACCGTCCGTGACTAACAACCCTTGTTTGAATTCTTCTTTATCACTCTCCAATTCCTCTCCCTTTTTCTGAATGTGCATGCAAATTTGGGCTGTTTTTTATGCCTCCATGCTGGTGACAGCTGTGGCCAGAGGCAGCATGTTTTCAGGTTGTCTTTCTGTCTGTTCCATTCTTATAAATGCGACATCTTAAAAACACCCTGAGGGGATTTCCTCAAGTTTGGCACTAACGTCCACTTGGACTCAAAGATGATTCGATTTTGAGTGTCAAAGGCCAAGGTGACTGTGAACTTGTGTCCATCTCACTCTAGTGAACATAATATCTGAGAAACACTTAAAGGGATTTTCACTAAATTTTGGCAAAAACATCCACTTGGACTGATGAACTGATCATAATTTGGTGGTCCAAAGTCACTGTGACCTCACAAAACATGTTGTTAGCTGTAGCTCAAGAATTCATTGATGACAAAATTTCATACAAGTGTCTAATAGGATAAAATGATGAAGTGATGACATTTTATATCTAAAAGGTCAAAGGTCAACTTTACTGTGACATTATAACTTTCTGCAAAAACATATTTCTGGCCATTATTCAGCGCCATAACTCAGGAACAAGAAGGAGGGACATTTGGTCAGACACTGAATTGATCCATATTTGAAACATTGTCTGCTGTCATGGCTACATATCAGACTGGACAGACATGGATGTAAACTGTAACTTGACTACTTGTTGGAGACATACAACCACAAGACGGTTATTTCAAGTTTTTTTTTTTTTTTAGATAGATTTGATATCCACAACCATGGTTACATAATTTTCACACTGTGCTCTCAACAGTTCATTTCCCTCTCCTCATAAAACACTTGGCACTCAGCAGTGCATCAAATTATTTTGCTATACAAGCAAGCGTTCTAGTCCTAGTTGCACTAATGTGCCACCGTTGGCTGCACTTAAGTGAAAAGGGTGTGAGCAGCAAGCAATAACATGCTTCCCTTCATTTGTACAAAGTGTTATTATTCCCTGGATTTAGTCCATTCCCAGCTGGTCCTGATACAAGAAGTTTTAAGGACGGTGTGACATTGTGTCATGGTACATTCTTGGGTCATGTTAGCCTTGTGTGTTTGAGGATATGCCATTATTGCTTTTTGTGAGCTTTACCGAAGAATCATGTGGAGGAAACAAATTGAATTATGGATTAAACCTGTGCTCCTCATGTCGAGCATTAACTGCGACTTCAGAAGCTAACAATGTCACAATTCAGACAGATATGATTTCATTAAAAGATCAAACTGTAAATGTTTTTTTTCCATGTAGTGTATTGACAAAGCAAGAGACCTCTTGGATGCTGAGCTGACGGCCATGGCTGGAGAGAGCTACAGTCGAGCCTACGGGGTGAGTGTTCCACTAAATCTGCCAAAATATTCAACACCTGGCATAAGTCGACCGTATTATTCTTCATTGCATTCATGTGCAGGGAGATTATGCTATGGCAAGAAAATTTTAGTCAAGTGATGATTTCTCAAAGTTTAATTGTCTGATCTAGCTTCTTTTGAAGTCAAAAGCATAAATATTTAGTTCCTCCACTGCACAATGCTTAATGTATGTGGAATTATCCAAGCAACATATCAAGTCAAAGTTCAAATCCAAAACAGCAGTATTCCTCTCATACAGATATTGTCAGGTAACATTATCGTGAAATCCATTTGATCCTAGTTGATTTTGATGTACATACCGTAGCTGTTCAACATGAACAGCAGACACACTTCAGCAGGCCTCAAGACTCTGGATGTTGTTACAAATGGCAGCTGTAAACAAAGCCATCAAGTAAAAATGACTAGCCTTTTCTGACAGATGCCACACAAGAAGGTCCAGTGGATGGCTGAAATTCATCCAATACTGTAGATTCTGATCCAAGAGTAGCTAAACCATAGAGTTTTGGCTGAAGTGCGTCTTCCCTGGAAATTAAAAAAATACCTCTAGAACATGAAGAAAGTAGCAACCTGGGTAGGGCTGGGAGGGTGGGCTAAGACATACCCAGTCACTCCTCTCTGCTGTGGAGAGGAAGAGGGGAGGAGGCAGGCCCCCAGGAGAGCCGCTGAGCCTTGCAGCAAATTTTTCCCGGGGGCCCAAAAAGCATTTACCCATAGACCACCACTGTAAAAGACATGTCTGTAAAATTGCTGACAGGACACCTTGAACTGCAAACAAAGTCAGTTATGAGTCTTTCTATTCAGAATTTCTGATCTATGGTGGTTTCATGTCTGTAAAAATGTCAAGCCAGGAAAAGCAATTTAAAAATCTGCGATGTCATCACAATGTGTAGTCTGTGAGCCAAGCGGGAACTCATGGGCGGACCAGCAGGAGAAACATTACTTTGGTGTGGGTAAACTCGGAAACTAAAAAACATTTTTGGCGCATGTGCCGGGTGAGAAACTCCATTGGAATGAAAAGGCACCATCTTGGCATCCGGTATCTAGTTATTATTAAAATCCATGGGAGGAGGGTGGGTTGTTTGTTGATGAAAGCTGCCACCATATACGTCACTTGCCACCAGATCAGCTAATAGCAAAATTATATTGCAGTTGCTGGGTTTCAACCAGTAGAGGGCAATGGCTATGCATATTTTTGTAGTAACACATTATGTAGAATTCAAATACTTCGCACTAAAATGTCAAGACTCTGACCTGAATCCATCTGCAGCACTACTACTGTAAATACCCATTTACATTGTTTTTCAGCTGAAAAAGGTGGTGGTGGGGGTTTAGTTACTCTTCAGTGGTCCATTTTTTATTGCACAGAAGGGGCTTTTGCAACTACAAAAATAATAATAGTGTTTTAAGAATGAATGTGGTTGTGTTTGTTTCCCAGGCCATGGTGTCTTGCCAGATGCTGTCGGAGCTAGAGGAGGTGATCCAGTACAAGTTGGTGCCAGAGAGGAGGGACATCATCAGGGAAACATGGTGGGAGAGGCTTCAGGTAACTTCAGCACATGATATATGGACACACACACACACACTCACGTGTGTGACTACAAATGTAAAGCAGATGTTGGAAAGGCTACTGTTACTAATGGGAAACATTACATGCCAGACACCAAACATACACACACACTACCTTAGTGAGTAAGGATTCACCAACTTGCACATTTCTTTCTTTGTTTTTACATTTGAAAATAAATTTAAAATACATCTGTAGAAGTAGAATCATGGTGGGCTCTGCTAAGTGTTATTTACAGTATACGGACAAACAAACTAGCTACAATCTGTCCAAATTAGTTTATCTGTAATTGAGTCACAACCTTGCAGCTACGTCTACTGTAACTACAAAAATTACTCGATAATTGATTAGTTCATTGATGGAAAATTAATCAGCAATTCATTTGAATGATTCAGATCAGATTTAGATAAAGTTTGTACTGGCCGGTGGGCGGTGCTTGGTTTCCCCCTTGACTGTTTTCAACATGACGGACAGGTCACAAACTTTTTTCTTTTACGGCTAAACAGTACACTAAAATATGTTTTTGAAAACATTTGAGGAGAGAAATAGGCAATGCAGTTCGAGAATCTTGATTCACATTTGGTCAGTGCTGCCTAGTTTGACAGTTTGACTGCAGTTCACAAGCAGTGACTGACATGATTGACAGCTATGTTAGAGACTCCTCAGCTGTGATTGGTTGCTTTCGTTCACGTTCAGTCTTAGCATTACAAGTAATAAGAGGAGGCAGAGGAACATGATTTTTTTATGCCTCTGCGCTGGTGATAGCCATGGCCGGAGGCATCATGTTTTCAGGTTGTCCCTCCATCCATCCCACTCAAGGGAATTTCTTCAAAATTGGCAAAAACATCTTCTTTGAATCAGTGATGAATTGATTAGAATTTGGTGGTCATAGGTCAAAGGTCAAGGTCACTGTAACCTTAGTCTGAGTGGGTAGAAGTTCGCTGCAAAGATCAGCCTCTCATTGGGCGGAACAAGCCACCCGCTGAAGTCCCGCCCTACCACCTCGGGTTGCAGTTTTCAACACATCCCTTACTAACTTTTGCGGTGTTTGATCTTGCGGGGATGTAGCCATTTTTCTGCCATGGTTTGTGTCCTGTAGGCGATATTTTTGTGGGCGTGTTACA